TTTGTATATATTTTTATTTACTTATTTAATACAAAGATGATATAACGAGGACAATATTACACTCCCCATCCAAATAATGTACAAATAATTTCCAATAAAAGTAATATGAAACCATAGCAAAATATAAAAATACATAAAAAAAGCATAAAATTAAGACATTAAAATTAAACATTATATAATATTGCTTTGCAATTGGATTTGTATTAATGACACTCAAATCTCTTTAGCATATTTTCTATATTAACAGCTTATTTATAAAAATAGAAAAAGAAAGATCTGATTGTAATATTAAAGTGACAAAAAGGAACATAGAAACATGAAATACTTTTAGTATAAGCAAATGGAATTCTTAAATATATTGTGAAAGCAAGTCATTGTGAACAATGGTTGAAGTATGTAACATATTTTAAAATATCAGTGTCCTTAGTTACTTTGAGCTACATTAGAGGAATCAGCATAAGGCAGATAGAATAATTTATTTAAAAGAAAATACAGGTATACCTTGGATTACGTCATTTTGAGTTAAGTCATTCTCGATTATATATTGTTTGTCAAAAAAAAAAAAAATTGGAAAAATAAAAATCAAGTTTAAGTCATTTTATTCAACTTTGTCTGTTCATCACAAATATTGAAGGCATAATATCACTATAAAAGCGTTAAAAGCACATAAAATCATGTTACTGTACAATAAATAAGAATAAAAGTACATAAAATCATATTAAAATACTCAGAATCAGAATCAAAATATCAGAATCAGCTGTTGATGCTGACGATCCACAGCCATCTACATCCATGATGTAAATAAACAAATTGAATGTAAATATTGGTAAATTTAACAAATTAGTTTTTTCTACTATAGCAAAATAATTTTAATAACTGTATTTGTTATTTAACCTTACAAAATCATTTTCTTTTATAATGTGTTAGAGCAAACCACATTCACAAATAAAGAGTCCGCGATGTACTGTAAACATCGCCAAATTGTAAACATGTACATTTACAAGTATGTACATACATTCATAAATTTAGATTACTTTTTTTCCTCTACTATATTCAAAACTAAAATTTATTTATTTGTAAGCTTAAAATAGATTCTTATTAACTATATATTATTAAAAATGCATTTATAAATAAAATACAGAACTGGGAATGGTTATTTGTAGTTTAATCTAGTGACAAGTAAATTCGACTTAAGTCATTTTTCGATTTAAGTCGTCTCTCCTGGAACCCATTACCGACGTAAGATGAGGTATACCTGTATATTTTCAAAATTTTGGTATTTAAATTTTTCAATACAGAAGGAGAAGCAGATGTCTGAAATTATAAAGCATAGTCAATTAACAATTAAATATTAGTTTTAAAATTATGTAAGATCATTTCTCTGCAAGAGGAGAGTTGTTTAAGTTATGTGTATATTGAAAGATGAGTTTTGAATAAAAAGTTATACATTACTTAAATTCCGAATTTGGGAAACGAGTTATACATCCTGTTGGTTGATTTGGATATTGATATTGTTTAAACAGTGATTTGACTGAACTGAATAACATTACATTAGTTTTTTTAATATTTATTAGAAGATTTAATGTTTTAAAGGATTAATTTAGTTTATTTATGTCATATTGTAAAGTTAATTGGCATGAGTTTATTTGGATGTCATCAGTGTTGGCATTAATGAATTAAGCAGGAAGAGAAAGTAATTTGTTAATGTAAACTATAAAAAAAGATTTCTGAGAATTGAGATTTGAGGTATTCCTAGTAAAGGAGAAAAGTCATAAAACTGATAATCAGATATTTTAATTTAAATGTGTGCATTATATAGAAATTATTTATCTGGAATAAAATGAAATTATATATAACAAATTTGGAAGATGATATTTTCAAGTAGAATTTTAGAAAATCAATTGCTTTTGCCATATCAATATAGATGATGAATGTAGGAAGTTTTGAATCAAAGTTTGACAATATTTCTAATTGTATTTCTAGGAGAATACTTGTAGTGACATGATGTGAAATTTCAGTGTTCTGCAATATTAATTCTGGATGTAACAGTCTTTCAAGTAGAATGTTAAATGCAAATTTTGAAAATCTTTAATATTTCAGGGCTAGAGAAATAGAGACAAAATGAGTCTGGATCTTTTGTGTAGGACAGAAATTATGGATGAACTCCATTGTGTGGGGATGAAATGTTGTTCTAAAATATGAGGAAATAAGTGAGAAAGAATAGTTGTTGATACAGATTTGAATTTTTTGAAGAAGATAAAGGAAATTAAATTGGGACTGAATATGCCTGTTGATGAAGATTCTGTAGCTTCACTTATAGCTGGAAAAAAGAAAGAGCTGGGAAAGAGATAAACACAAATGATATGGATTTGATAGCATGGAAGTAAAGGTAGAAAGGAAGCTTCAGGTAATATTTTTAGAAAATGGGATTTAACTTAGTTATATACAAAGTAAACTCTATCATCAGCTATTTTATGTCTTAGGGTATGGTGAGATTTGGAAAACTTTGGTGTAAACCCTTTGCCAGAAGGTTTTAGGATCATGAGCAAAACTGTTGACAATTTTATTAAAAATAATTTATATAGTGAGTTTTGCAATCATTTTAATAATGTTTTTGGGTCATATGATTATATATATATATAAAGAGGATGTCCAGAGATTACCACTAATTTTCCCTTTATGCCAAAATGATCTTACATTATTACATAGTTTCTGAGAAATCCTAAATATAATTTATTAGAATTTATTAGCAGAATGTTTTAATAATTCATAGGCATATTGAGTTTTATAATTAATACTAATGGAGGAATCAATTACAGAAGACCAACTGAATGAACAACAAGTTGTAAGTTGAGGCCATTTGACAGAGGGCCAATTTGGGACAGAAACAGTATTTTTGTATAGGAAATGTGATGCTAGTCTAACATTTGAAATTTTATTTGCAAAGTATAGTGGTCTGATATGGAACTTCAACAAGATTAGTTATTATATGAGAATGAAATGAGAAGACTAAATCCAAAAAAGCATTTGTGTTGTTGGAAAATTTACATGTTGATTACAGCAGAAAAAATAGAATAAATTTTTAAAAGAATCGTTCAGAAATATTGATGGAAGAGTAAGAGGAGAACAAAAAGCACTGTGATAAATTGGATAAATTAAAATCACCACATAATGTCAAAGGAATTCAGGATTTTTACAGAAAGAAGAAACTGTTCTAGATAAACAAAGATGAAAATAAATAATTTATAAAAGTTATTGAAAAGTGTAAGGGAAAGAAATATATTCATAAATTGATCTGACATTTTCAAGAAGAAATCTGTCATTCTGAAGGATATTTAATTAATACAAACATAGTCATAATCATGACAATACTAATGGAAAAGATTAATTCAATAAGTAAATTATTCGGACTTCAGATGAATTATAAGAAAACAAAGCTACTTATTTCATGCAAGAAAAATATAGATAATGTAATGTTGCAGATACAAAACAGGACAATTGATACAGTTTCATCAATTAAGTATTTGGGGACTATCATACAGGAAGATGGCAGATGCATTAAAGAAATTAAATCTAGAATAGAAAATGCGAGNCGGTCAACCCTTTTTTCGTCAGGTATTTTATGACCGCACGAGTCTCCATCTTCTCCATTTTTGACAAAGCATGTGCACATTGACTATCTGCTAAGCTGTCGTGGCAAAACTTTATGACAAATCAAGCGGAAATTGGTATCGTATCTTTAGCAAGGATGACTGAATTATTCCCGCCAAAAATTAAATTGATGGCAGCGCCGCATATAGGCAAGGCCGCGAACTTTTCGAACAGCCCTCGTATTACATTAAACTCTATTCCAATCAAGCAGTTCCTTCCTTTACCTTGCTACCATACCCTGCACCAACTACAATAAATACTATGTTTGTATGTAATTTTTAGACATTATCCATATATAATTGAAAGAGGGTTTCAGTTTGTTAGATTTAGTTTTAATAAATGATTTGGACTAAAAATATGGTTCATGTATCGAATTAAAATGCTTATCTTGTAGATGACAATGCTGCTGAATTTGAGAAAGATTTGAGAAATGTGCAATGGTTCAGGTGTGACAGAGTGACAAACATACAATGTTAACTCTGTGGTACAAACATGGGGTCCCATCCTCTGTTAACTTTAGTCTAAGCAATTTTTTTTGTGTTTTGCAGTTTCATTATTGTAAATACTGAGATCAATAAATGTACATTTTACTTATTAAGACAACTTTTTTATTTTCTCTCCCAACTCAACCTCACCAATCCCCACCCCTTTAAAAGCCCTAGCAACACCAGGCACATGCAGCTAGTTACACATTATAAAAAAAATGTGTAATTTTTAAACAAGCACTTGCAGATATTCTGAATAAACAAGACTGTTATGCAAAAGTATCTCTCAGTTACATAAAATCTATACTAGCATAAATTCCCTGAAGAAAATTGGTAGAACTGAAAGATCAGAAAGTACCACGTACACTCTTAAAATGATAAAATATTGCCTGTGCTTTTCTCATTCCACATTGTTATGACACGCTTGATGTAAACTGTGTCATTTCATATTGTATAGTAAGAAAACAATTATCATTAGTAGATACAGTATATATTGTGCATTAATTTATTGCCAATGGCCTTTTATTGCATTTTGTAACACAATGTTGGTGATCATTTTCAGTTCAATTCTTGTACATATTATATTGTGTTAATCAGAAAATTAAAAAAAGAATCAACTAAGTTTTATGATGATTAACAAACATTAAAAAATCTTGTTTGTAGATCTTTGTGAATATAAGAAGGCTAATTTAATTAATAGAAATAAACAAATTAAAGAAAACTTCTTATAATGAATTGTATTTGTTTAAATCATAAAATAGTCTGAAAATATTGTATTATGACTAAATGAATATTTGTTTTGGATTATTTTATTTTAATTTTTTAATTTATAAGTGGAGGTATAAATTGATTTTTTAATTTTAGGAACCTGTACTTTTTGCAACATCAATTATGGAAAATATTCGCTATGGTCATCCTAATGCTACAGATGAAGAGGTAAAACTGAGTGACCATTTATAATACATTTTTTTTTAATAAATATATTAAATTATCATTCTTTTTCTTCAGGTAGTGAATGCTGCTAAATTGGCTAATGCTGATGATTTTATATGCAGTTTTCCTCATGGTTATCATACAGTTCTTGGTGAGAGAGGCGTAACTGTTTCGGGAGGCCAAAAACAAAGAATTGCTATAGCTCGAGCATTGATAAAAGATCCTAAAATATTAATCTTGGATGAAGCCACAAGGTATATTTGTATGAAATTCATTTTATTTTTCAAATAAAAATGATTTTAAAATAATGACAAAATGAATTTTAGATTATATTTATATGTTTTCTTAAATATTTATCAAATTTATATAATAATTTCACATTGCACTTACTGTTAATGAACATATTAATAGATAATATTTTGGAAGATGAGTGAAAAATGAAATTAAATAGAAAATGTTTTGGAATGTAACTAAGATAATAATAGAAATATAGTAAATATTGGGATTTTTTCATGAGTAAGAATATAAAATCAATAGATGCTTTATTGAAAATTAAGTTTGAATACTGTAATTTTAATCTAGTAAATCTCTCCAATACATCATTACAATCACAAGGATTAGTAATTACAATATATTAGAACAATTTATGAAGGATACTTGTCAGAATAACAGGTTCAACTCATTGTTTATGGTTAATGGCAATAACTGATTTTAGTTATACATATCATATGGATAAAATAAAAAAAAAAACACATCTTTAAAAAATCCAGCAATGAAATTTACTAAATAATAACGTTTTCAATCAGTTTAACTGATCATCTTCAGTTATGATAAAACAGAACGTCAAAATAGAACTTAAATACCCATTAAACAGAACGTGCTCAGCAAATAATTAGCTTATCTCAACACACCTTGTTGCCAAGATAGTTTTATTGAAAACTAACATTTTCAGCTTACTCTATAGGTTATCCTCAGGCTTAACGAGAGAATAAGAACATTGGTGTTTCATTAAATGAAATACATATGTTCAAATTCCTATTTGAAAATATGTTCAATAGGAGTTTCTTGTTAAGCCTGAGGATGACCTATAGAGTAGGCCAAAAACATTAGTTTTCAATAAAACTATCTTGGCAACGAGGTGTGTTGTGATAAGCTAATTATTTGCTGAGCACGTTCTGTTTAATAATGTATTTACATTCTATTTTGATGCTCTATTTTATCATAACTGAAGATGATCAGTTAAACTGATCGAAAACATTATTATTTAGTAAATTTCATTGCTGGATTTTTTAAAGGTGTGTTTTTTTTATTTAATTTATCCAGTTAATACAAAATATATGGATATGGATAAAAGTCATGAGAAGATAGATAATAAATGTGCCATTTGTTGCCTTGATTCATAGAAATCAGAAAGGAAAAAACTATCAAAAAAACTGTTTGAACTGTCAGATATCACATTTCTTGCGTTAAAGGAAATGACTTAATTTTGTTTAAGATGCAAAAGATTCAATCACGTATTTGAATCAGTCAGTGATCTAAGATCATCAAGTAATTCTAACATCACAGTCAAAATTATTTCTCTTTTTAGACAATTCTGTTCAAAATTACAACTGTGTCAATTATCAATCAAATAACATCAATTCTTGCAATTTATCAATTGATCAATAATAATTTACAATGGAACTGGATAACTCAAGTCACATTTAATCGTTTTCTTTTCCCAATTGTCCAGCATAGGAAATTACATATTAAACTTGAATTAACCAGTTTGCTTTGTCAAACTGTTTAACTTGAATGTGATTTTGATACAGTATTTCATAAACTCTCCAGAATTTTAATTTTGATTTTCTATTAAATAAAATAGTTAATGTTTGTCTATCAAATAAATTAATCAAAAACTTTCCATAAAGCACAGAAACCATGTACAACTAAAAGTAATCATTGTGTCTTATGATGGTGGGCAGGGAGTAGTGACTTCCAGATAGTGTGTGGCCTAGATACTATAACTACCATTTGAACTTGCTTTTGTTTTTCAAACATTTTTTTTTTTTTTTGTTTTACTTGATTGGCCTGAAATTTGAAATTATAAACCTATAAATTCCCATTGTCTTTCCTTAATCCCAAGGATGGTGTTAGATAAATGAAATTCAAGACCAGATATGGAAACCTTAGTGGCGAGAATCCCCAATTAACTAGGAACTTCCGATGCAAACCAGAAGTTGCATTATTTCAATTCAAAAATATTCCCCTGAAAGGAGTTAGCAATAGAGTCGTTTTGGTCATCTATCTAACAGAAAAGTATGATGTATAGGGGCAAGACACTGCAATACTAATTTGAGGTGGAGAGCATATATTTTAAATTAAATAAATTAAAAATATGATTAAAAATTGCAGCTTGGCATTGTGACAATGGCACAATAAATAATTGTTTGTTGTGAATGGATTTCTCTGACTAGCTGTTACAGAAAGAAAATGGATTTTTGATAAATTAATTTTCAAAATACAATTAGTCTGATTCTATATAAAAATATCACAATTGTAGAGTACTGTAGTTTTTTTGGTATAAAAAAATATAAACAGATTAATTTTAGGCACAAAATATCAGAATTAAAAAAATTCTTACTAAACACACAGAGTGAATGGATCAACCATTCAGAAAAGCTATCTCAGTAGCTTATTTATCAATTTAGTTAAGTATTTTTGGACAACACTGATAGGTTTACATTGACATGACAATTCTATGTAATAAGACCTGCAGAAATATCATATGCATACTGGGAATCACTATAAACCAATGCATAAAATCTTGATTTTTAGCTGAATCTCCCTAACTCACAACTTTTTAACTTGAATTCTGAATTTATACCCCCAACTGATTTGAGTTAACCAGATTACACTGTATTAGAAATTAAAAGGATAGGAAAGATTAATATGGATCATAATTCAACAATATAACATGTAACTCTGAAATGTTACTAAATTTAAAAAGAGAATAAATAATATTTTTAATTGAATTTTGAAGATTACTTATGTTTTTCTACATTCTAGTTCATCTTTCCAATTTCTGAGTAAATAAATTCACTTAGCTTGAAAATTGGAAACTGTCAAAAGAGAAGTCAGGATCTCATTAAATGACTGTATAATGAGAAATTACACCAAATAACACGCATATTTCATAAGGAATATTCAAATTTAAGAAAATTTGATGAAATGAATAATGCTTTGAGATCAGTAGGAATAGCTTTTCTTTAAAATATTTGCAAACTTTTTATTTGTAATGGTCAAATTTAATACTTTAGTTATTTAAAAATGCACTTTGTTTACTTTGTGAAAATATAAAAGTATATAAATGGTGCAGAGTAAATGCAACTTACTTAATCCTAAAAAGTTTTTAATCAACATGCTTGAAACTTTCATTGTATGTGTAGATGCCATATGCTTTTAATAAGTTTAAAATCCTCCAGCCTGTTCATAGCAATTTTTAATAGATGACAGTTGCAGTTTTCAAACAATTCCAATAAATCTTTTTATGCTTTTGTAAATTGAAATATAATTGCACTGCACTAAATTGCAATTTTTCTGTAATAGGCTAAGAATACTTTTTCCGAATAAGCATTTTTTTCATTTTAAAGGAAGTGGTGCTTAAATTAATCAACTGTTGGACATTATATGAGGCATGGAGGGTTTAATTTTGACATCTCATAATATCTGTAATATTTAACTTTCTCATGATTCCAGATTTTTCTGATAACATAATCAATGTGTTTTTTTTTTGGTTGTATCATTTTGTTTTTTTGTAAAGTCTACTTCTATTCAAGCATTTAATAAGTAAGGCTAATTTAGCTTTATTATATTAGATATCTTTCCAATGAATTATATAAGAAATTCTAAGAGAAATTAAGAAATTAAAATATGAAAGTTTACAATCTTACTACAAAGTATTACTATTAATTGTGTGAAAATTTATTATGATATATCTTAAAAATATACTCAAAACCTAATATAAATATTTTTCTAGTGCATTGGATGCTGAATCAGAAAAAGTAGTTCAAGAAACACTTGATCGTGTAATAAAAGGTTGTATTTTCTTCTTTAATTTAAATATTTTAAGAAACATTTTAAATTTATAATATGCTTGTTGTAAATAGTTTAAAATTGTAAAATTTATAAAAGATAATAAGTTTATTATTAGAGTTCCATTATTTTGCCAATTTTTTAAAAAGAAGAGCAATAGAATTTTTAAATTTATTTTTAGTTGAAAATGCTATTTAAGTTTAAAATAAAATTTAAAGAAAATTATGAAAAAGTTTTATAAACTTTTGTAAATATTGAAAGAGTTTTATGTTTTTGAGATTAAATTAAAATAATTTTAAACTTAAAAATAGTATAATTTAGTTTCTCTTATTGTTAAATTGTATATTTAAAAACTTTGTACTATATTTAGGAAGGACAGTCTTAGTAATTGCTCATCGACTAAGTACTATACAAAATGCAAATATTATAGCTGTATTATCTCATGGAATAATTGCAGAAGTAAGTTAAATGTCTTTTTGCTTTCCAAATAAACAGTAAAAAAGGAAATTACATTTAAAATTTCTTTGACTTATATAAATTTAGACTTAAGCAAACTTTTCCCATAAAATACATTTATAAAATTCATTAAATTTGATATCAATTTCAAAATAGTTTAATTTTCCATTTTTTATAGTATGATAGTGCAAGTTAGTAGTAATACAATAAAGTATTCTGGCAACATTGCCTCAACTAACTCATTTTATGCTGTAGCCTAACCATAAAATTTTTTCATATTTATCACTAAACTAATACAGTAGAACCTCCATTATCCAGACCTCCATTATCCGGATTGTTCAAAATAAACAAAAATTTTACGAATTTGCTGATTCGCACTTGGCGAATTATGACACTGTTTATGTACGTGGTGGAATGCATAACTTTTTTTGTTTCAACAACGTCTCACCCAGCACAGTGGTCGTAAACTCTTAAATATATTTTATGTAGTAATAAAAATATAACTTGACATATGTATTTATAAATAATTTATATTCAAATTACATCATTTCTATGACTAAGTGTGGCGTAAGGCATGGACGACGTGGGCCACCGCCTATGCCTCGCGGTCCGAAGGGCCTCGTGTTTCGAAGGTTTACGCATTACTTAAAAGCTGTGAACGCAACGAAAAAATTTTACTCGTCATAAAACGATAAATAGTTTGTCAAATTTTTATTCATAAAAATGCAGTTTCAACTGCTTTTTATTTTATAAAATCCGTCTTCTTGCGCCACCAGAGGGCCTTTTAAACAATAGGTAGTCTGTTAGCGTTGGTCAGTAGTAGTCCAAATTCAATACGAACGTTTGTTTCTTGAAAATTTGATCACAATTTAAATACAGTATTTACTTTTAATATTACCGACATGTCATCGAAAAGAAAACGTGTTGTATTATCATTAAAAGACAAATTAAAGTATTTATTTCGATTATCCGGATTTTTCCTTATCCGGACTACCTTCATCCCCAATTAGTCCGGATAATCGAGGTTCTACTGTATTAACATAATTTTCATATCTTTTGAAAATTCCATTTTAATGCCTTTAACCTTTAACACTAGAACTAACAACTATTATATGAATTGTTGCTGCCAGTCATTTTTCCCAGTATTCTCATAAAATTCTGTACAGCTAATAGAAAACTTTTCTTCATAAAATTGCATTAAACTTTAATATATAAAAATAGTAATAATATAACTTAAAAAATATAAACATTTTAAATTAAAATTCATATTAAGCGATTTTGCAATTAATACAGTATACAATTTTTTATTTGATGAAGCATTCTTTTTGTATATATTTTTATTTACTTATTTAATACAAAGATGATATAACGAGGACAATATTACACTCCCCATCCAAATAATGTACAAATAATTTCCAATAAAAGTAATATGAAACCATAGCAAAATATAAAAATACATAAAAAAAGCATAAAATTAAGACATTAAAATTAAACATTATATAATATTGCTTTGCAATTGGATTTGTATTAATGACACTCAAATCTCTTTAGCATATTTTCTATATTAACAGCTTATTTATAAAAATAGAAAAAGAAAGATCTGATTGTAATATTAAAGTGACAAAAAGGAACATAGAAACATGAAATACTTTTAGTATAAGCAAATGGAATTCTTAAATATATTGTGAAAGCAAGTCATTGTGAACAATGGTTGAAGTATGTAACATATTTTAAAATATCAGTGTCCTTAGTTACTTTGAGCTACATTAGAGGAATCAGCATAAGGCAGATAGAATAATTTATTTAAAAGAAAATACAGGTATACCTTGGATTACGTCATTTTGAGTTAAGTCATTCTTGATTATATATTGTTTGTCAAAAAAAAAAAAAATTGGAAAAATAAAAATCAAGTTTAAGTCATTTTATTCAACTTTGTCTGTTCATCACAAATATTGAAGGCATAATATCACTATAAAAGCGTTAAAAGCACATAAAATCATGTTACTGTACAATAAATAAGAATAAAAGTACATAAAATCATATTAAAATACTCAGAATCAGAATCAAAATATCAGAATCAGCTGTTGATGCTGACGATCCACAGCCATCTACATCCATGATGTAAATAAACAAATTGAATGTAAATATTGGTAAATTTAACAAATTAGTTTTTTCTACTATAGCAAAATAATTTTAATAACTGTATTTGTTATTTAACCTTACAAAATCATTTTCTTTTATAATGTGTTAGAGCAAACCACATTCACAAATAAAGAGTCCGCGATGTACTGTAAACATCGCCAAATTGTAAACATGTACATTTACAAGTATGTACATACATTCATAAATTTAGATTACTTTTTTTCCTCTACTATATTCAAAACTAAAATTTATTTATTTGTAAGCTTAAAATAGATTCTTATTAACTATATATTATTAAAAATGCATTTATAAATAAAATACAGAACTGGGAATGGTTATTTGTAGTTTAATCTAGTGACAAGTAAATTCGACTTAAGTCATTTTTCGATTTAAGTCGTCTCTCCTGGAACCCATTACCGACGTAAGATGAGGTATACCTGTATATTTTCAAAATTTTGGTATTTAAATTTTTCAATACAGAAGGAGAAGCAGATGTCTGAAATTATAAAGCATAGTCAATTAACAATTAAATATTAGTTTTAAAATTATGTAAGATCATTTCTCTGCAAGAGGAGAGTTGTTTAAGTTATGTGTATATTGAAAGATGAGTTTTGAATAAAAAGTTATACATTACTTAAATTCCGAATTTGGGAAACGAGTTATACATCCTGTTGGTTGATTTGGATATTGATATTGTTTAAACAGTGATTTGACTGAACTGAATAACATTACATTAGTTTTTTTAATATTTATTAGAAGATTTAATGTTTTAAAGGATTAATTTAGTTTATTTATGTCATATTGTAAAGTTAATTGGCATGAGTTTATTTGGATGTCATCAGTGTTGGCATTAATGAATTAAGCAGGAAGAGAAAGTAATTTGTTAATGTAAACTATAAAAAAAGATTTCTGAGAATTGAGATTTGAGGTATTCCTAGTAAAGGAGAAAAGTCATAAAACTGATAATCAGATATTTTAATTTAAATGTGTGCATTATATAGAAATTATTTATCTGGAATAAAATGAAATTATATATAACAAATTTGGAAGATGATATTTTCAAGTAGAATTTTAGAAAATCAATTGCTTTTGCCATATCAATATAGATGATGAATGTAGGAAGTTTTGAATCAAAGTTTGACAATATTTCTAATTGTATTTCTAGGAGAATACTTGTAGTGACATGATGTGAAATTTCAGTGTTCTGCAATATTAATTCTGGATGTAACAGTCTTTCAAGTAGAATGTTAAATGCAAATTTTGAAAATCTTTAATATTTCAGGGCTAGAGAAATAGAGACAAAATGAGTCTGGATCTTTTGTGTAGGACAGAAATTATGGATGAACTCCATTGTGTGGGGATGAAATGTTGTTCTAAAATATGAGGAAATAAGTGAGAAAGAATAGTTGTTGATACAGATTTGAATTTTTTGAAGAAGATAAAGGAAATTAAATTGGGACTGAATATGCCTGTTGATGAAGATTCTGTAGCTTCACTTATAGCTGGAAAAAAGAAAGAGCTGGGAAAGAGATAAACACAAATGATATGGATTTGATAGCATGGAAGTAAAGGTAGAAAGGAAGCTTCAGGTAATATTTTTAGAAAATGGGATTTAACTTAGTTATATACAAAGTAAACTCTATCATCAGCTATTTTATGTCTTAGGGTATGGTGAGATTTGGAAAACTTTGGTGTAAACCCTTTGCCAGAAGGTTTTAGGATCATGAGCAAAACTGTTGACAATTTTATTAAAAATAATTTATATAGTGAGTTTTGCAATCATTTTAATAATGTTTTTGGGTCATATGATTATATATATATATAAAGAGGATGTCCAGAGATTACCACTAATTTTCCCTTTATGCCAAAATGATCTTACATTATTACATAGTTTCTGAGAAATCCTAAATATAATTTATTAGAATTTATTAGCAGAATGTTTTAATAATTCATAGGCATATTGAGTTTTATAATTAATACTAATGGAGGAATCAATTACAGAAGACCAACTGAATGAACAACAAGTTGTAAGTTGAGGCCATTTGACAGAGGGCCAATTTGGGACAGAAACAGTATTTTTGTATAGGAAATGTGATGCTAGTCTAACATTTGAAATTTTATTTGCAAAGTATAGTGGTCTGATATGGAACTTCAACAAGATTAGTTATTATATGAGAATGAAATGAGAAGACTAAATCCAAAAAAGCATTTGTGTTGTTGGAAAATTTACATGTTGATTACAGCAGAAAAAATAGAATAAATTTTTAAAAGAATCGTTCAGAAATATTGATGGAAGAGTAAGAGGAGAACAAAAAGCACTGTGATAAATTGGATAAATTAAAATCACCACATAATGTCAAAGGAATTCAGGATTTTTACAGAAAGAAGAAACTGTTCTAGATAAACAAAGATGAAAATAAATAATTTATAAAAGTTATTGAAAAGTGTAAGGGAAAGAAATATATTCATAAATTGATCTGACATTTTCAAGAAGAAATCTGTCATTCTGAAGGATATTTAATTAATACAAACATAGTCATAATCATGACAATACTAATGGAAAAGATTAATTCAATAAGTAAATTATTCGGACTTCAGATGAATTATAAGAAAACAAAGCTACTTATTTCATGCAAGAAAAATATAGATAATGTAATGTTGCAGATACAAAACAGGACAATTGATACAGTTTCATCAATTAAGTATTTGGGGACTATCATACAGGAAGATGGCAGATGCATTAAAGAAATTAAATCTAGAATAGAAAATGCGAGAGGTACTTTTATCAGAATGCAGAAATTTTTCAAATGCAATGTTTTTAATTTACATCTTAAAATTAGAATGTTAAGGTGCTATGTGATGTCAGTTTTGTTTTATGGAGTAGAAACGTGGACCTTAGATAAAAATACGTTAAACAAACTTGAAGCATTCGAAATGTGGTTATATAGAAGAATTTTAAAAATATCTTGGACAGATAGAATAACAAATGAGGAAGTTTTGGAAAGAATGGGGAAAGAAAAAGAAGTTTTAAATACAGTTAAAAGAAGAAAGACGGGGTATTTTGGCCACATCATCCGAGGAAGTAAATATGAAATTTTGAGAAATATTTTAGAGGGAAAAATCTGTGGAAAGAAAAGCCCAGGAAGGAGAAGGAAAAGTTGGTTAGGTAATATATGTGAATGGAATAATAAGAAAGCAGAAGAACTAACACGTGAAGCACAATTGAGATTGTTATAATACTAGTCCTACATTCAGAAATGAATATGGAACCAGAAGAAGAAGA